CCGTACGGTTGCCTATAATTGCTTACATCCACTTTATAGTGTCTCATTGGCAATCATACCACATCTCCTTATTTTTATACGGTTAAGCTATCGTGTCTGCGACTATGTATATAGTAACAGAGAATCAAGGTCAAGATCAGACTACAGCTTTTCAGTCTGGCACAAACAGCTCGGGATCTATTTACTATAAATTGGCCGCAATCGCTTGATTGTGGAAACGTATAGGATATGGACATTGGTTATTTCATATGGACATTATTTCACCATAAATAGATGTAATTAACTCGACTAGAGGCGCGTGTCGTTTATATTTGATATGAATACTTTACGGTAATGCAACTGCTGCAAGAGTCAGTGCCGTGGTGTCCATGTATACAGGCTGCACTGTTTTTAATACATGAGGACCTTGGGTATTAATAATTTTGTCTACGACAAAGCTGTCTCAACAGCAGACTAAAATAAAAATATCCCACATATGTTTTATCTTGTGTAAATAATGATGACTTTTTCCCTTTTCTTTTCTTTAATGTCTTAAATTGGTAGATTTGTTTTTGCTTTGATCCCTTTCGTTTCTTAGCAAGACTTAAGCTTCAATTATGTCGTAATCATTTGGAATAGGGTCATCTCACTACACCATGATTTTCTATACGTATATGGTTTTGGTTGTCAGATTAGTGAGGGATTACATTTTGTATCATCGCTTTCAAGTCGGAGAGATATCGACAAAATCATGACAAGAAAAAGCGTAAAACAGACAAAAACCAGTCTACAAAACACTACTTAAAAACTAAAAACTGAGCAACACAAACCCCGCCAAAAAACCGGATGTGATATCAGGTCATCTGAAAGGATAAGCATATCCTGTTCCACATGTGGCACCCACAGTGTTTTAAGTACAAGTTCGGCGAAGACACGTGCACAATCGGTGAAAAGAGGACGAACGATTAGCTATGACAGTTGTAACATATCCATGGTGCTTTGTGACACAGATATCCATAACGGTCAACCAACTCATGATGGCACCAGTAAACATTCCAGAGTGATAACTTTTACTTTACCACTTGGATCATTGGTTCAATAACTTCGTTGTAAGCAGCAACCATCGGTCAAGGAAATCAAAATAGGAAACGCAAGCTCTTGAATATCACCTGGGAGTTGTATAAACCATATTCAGACACTTCTGGATTGTTGCTACATAGAAAAGAAAAGTTCACAGTTCGAAAGTTGAAATCATCTCTTTTGTCGTATATTTTGTTCCCAGCCGGCTCCTCATTATCAATTTCCAGATGTAAGTTAAGTTAAGATATGATGCGGACTGACCTGAATCTGAGGTATCCCTTATTTCTAGTCCAATTGAATAGATGAGTTCCACATAGTCACCAAATTTTTAGTTTTTTAATGAGAGGACAGCAAGCTTCGTTTCATTCTACCTGAGAAGCCCCTGTATGATGTGTGTCTGTTATGAATGATGGAAGCAAGATGAGCACAGTAAATTGCCATCTCTCTGAATTCCGATTGTTTGTCGAAAAATATGCCCTCTAAACGTGGCAAATATGTTGTCAATAAAAACATCAAATATCTTAATGATGTCAGTTTCAGCAAGGATTTGTATAGTATTACTATACAAATCCTTGGTTTCAGGGAATTTATAAATCTGAGTGGGTTTTTACAAAGTATTATTTTTTTCCTTCCTCAAGCAAACAATATATTTGTATCTACGTTCTCTATTATGAAACAAAGTTGACCTAATTCTTTCAATCTGTCGTTAAGTATAATGATGAATACAAGCGTTAAGTGTAGAGAAGTCAAAAGAGAGGCGGAAGATCCCAAAGGGACATTCAAACTCATAAGTAGAATAAACTGACAACGCCATGGCTAAGAAAGAAAAAGACCAACAAACAACAGTACACAAAACACAACTTAGAAAACTAAAGACTGAGCAACACGAACCCCACTAAAAACTTGGGGTGATATCATGTGCTCCGGAAGGGTAAGCAGATTCTGCTCCACATGTGGCACCCGTCGTGTTGCTCATGTTAGTACAAACCCGGTAGTAAGTCTAATTCGGTAGGTCACATTCGGGGAAAAGGGGATGTGATTGTAGTTACGACAATTGGAACATATCCGGTGTCATCTGTGAAACGGATATTCCATAACGGTCAACCAACTCGTGATGGCGTCCATACAATTTACGATGTGATGATTTCAACTTCACCACTTGGAACTCTTGGTTTAATAGCTTCCTTTTCAGCAGCAACACTCTATCAAGGAAATCATGATAGGCAATACAAGCCCTGGAATATGGTATCAACTGGGAGATATATACTCCGTATGCAGGCGCTGCTGGAATGTTGCTACACAAAAATGGAAAGTTCACAATTGGGAAGCTGAAATCATCTCTTTTGTCGTTTTGTTTTCAAACGACCCTCACTGTCAATTTCTAGATATAAGTCAAGATATGAGGCAGACTTAACTGTATCTGTTGTATCCTTTATCTCAAGTTCGATGGGATAGAAATCTTTTTTATGCCATTGCAAGAGTAAAGAGATATAGATTGTATGTGTTCTATGACACAGATCTTTGGATTTTGTTAGTATCCGCAGCTGATTCACAGCGCTCTTATAGAGTTGGTACTTTCTCTGTAGCTCTGAAGCCCGGCTTTGGTTGCTGATAAAATAAAACTGAAAAAAGTAGTACCAGGACAAAGAATAGCGATGTCCTGTGGGGGAAATTATTACAAAAACTGAAAAAAGTAGTACCAGGACAAAGAATAGCGATGTCCTGTGGGGGAAATTATTACAAAAACTGAAAAAATAGGACCAGGACAAAGAATAGCGATGTCCTGTGGGGGAAATTATTACAAAAACTGAAAAAATAGGACCAGGACAAAGAATAGCGATGTCCTGTGGGGGAAATTATTACAAAAACTGAAAAATTAGGACCAGGACAAACACTCAATCTGAAGAATAGCGATGTCCTGTGAGGGAAATTGTCACAAAAACTGAATAAGTAGTACCAGGACAACCAGTCGATCTGAAGAATAGCGATGACCTGTGGGGGAAATTATTACAAAAACTGAATACGTAGTAACAGGACAAAGAATTGCTCATGTTAGTACAAACCCGGAAATAAGTCTAATTCGGTAGGTCACATTCGGGGAAAAGGGGATGTGATTGTAGTTACGACAATTGGAACATATCCGCTGTCATCTGTGAAACGGATATTCCATAACGGTCAACCAACTCGTGATGGCGTCCATACAATTTACGATGTGATGATTTCAACTTCACCACTTGGAACTCTTGGTTTAATAGCTTCCTTTTCAGCAGCAACCCTCTATCAAGGAAATCATGATAGGCAATACAAGCCCTGAAATATGGTATCAACTGGGAGATATATACTCCGTATGCAGGCGCTGCTGGAATGTTGCTACACAAAAATGGAAAGTTCACAATTGGGAAGCTGAAATCATCTCTTTTGTCGTTTTGTTTTCAAACGACCCTCACTGTCAATTTCTAGATATAAGTCAAGATATGAGGCAGACTTAACTGTATCTGTTGTATCCTTTATCTCAAGTTCGATGGGATAGAAATCTTTTTTATGCCATTGCAAGAGTAAAGAGATATAGATTGTATGTGTTCTATGACACAGATCTTTGGATTTTGTTAGTATCCGCAGCTGATTCACAGCGCTCTTATAGAGTAGGTACTTTCACTGTAGCTCTGAAGCCCGGCTTTGGTTGCTGATAAAATAAATGTTAATGATTTGATAGATTTAGTTTTAATTAGATTGGTCTATTGAAATATGCAAGGCTTGCAGATATACCTTATCGGGCATATAGATCAGACACATTGAGGTCTAAGAACTAAAGTTTCACGTGAAATCAATGCTACAAATATTAATAAAGTGCTCAAAGACAGCTGAACCATAATCCTCTTCTTAATCCATATATGTCATATCAACTTTTTTATATTTCAAAAGTTCTGAAGCTTTCTCTGTGTTTATTATCTGTTTATTTTATATTAAACGATCAACCTTTTTACATGCATATGTATAAATATAAGTGAAGATGACCTCATATTTTTTTTCTATTGGCAAACAACTGACTTTTTTTTGCCTGGAAAAATGTGCTTGCACTATCATAACACTTCATTTTACAAGTGTATGCAAGCAAAACAAAAGTATATATAAAAAAAACCACCACCTGCTGTCAAAAAAATTAGTTATTATTATTTTTTAGCTTGTTTAAAAAAAAAACTCCTTCAAAAACAAAGTTGCAGCCCATTCCGACAATAAATGATTCAACAAGATACGTATTATTTATTGCAAATTTTCTTAAAACAAAGTGCATAGTTATGTAGACCTCTCACACAAATGTATGTTACACTTGTTATATGATGACAGTATGGATGACTTTGTACTAGAATTATGGATGCATTATTGTCTTTACTAATAATGTGATGAGCTGTTTATACACCATTGTTTGTGTAACATTCAATCTTCCAGAAAGGATACATATATATATCATACAACAGGCATTCCTCTCAAGTTGTTCTGATGACAGCTGTTTAAGCACAACAGAAAACTCTGTCATATTATGACACCGTGTTCAATCGTTATTAGGTGCATTATTTTGATTCCCTTTCAAACTGTTTTAAAATTAAAGGCAGACTAGTGCAAATGCATGTCCAAAACACATCGAATATTTCTTCAAAGCTGTAATAACATTTTCAAACAAGTATGAACGAAAATTAACCAGGTCATTATTGTTAAATAAGTAGTAAAAATGTATTTTAAGTCTTTTTCTTCTTATCAACTGGAACTTCTATTGTGCCAATATCTCTCAAATATGAGAAATTAATTAAGAGGATTGCTAGATAATTTTACTTTCATTTTCTACTAATTATTCACGCTCCTTCTCAGGTTTCTTATATATCGAGAACCATTGTATAGTTTAGTTTACAACGCAATAAGTATATGAACGTCTTCATATGTTGCAGGTGAAATGAAGAAGAAGGTAAAAATCTCATCTGATGTTATAAAGACGAAGCAGGTATGCAATATGTTTCTCATTAATGTACAGAACCGGTATAAATTGTTTACATGATTAGACAGACACCGATCATACATCCAATACATGCGTTAATAATTCTTCATTTAAATAAGCATAAGAAACGTAATATCTCAGTAAATGTTAAACATGCTAGATATTACACCGTCTTTTCATCTCCAACTATGTACAATCAAGAGAATTAATTGAATTTTGGTATATTGTATTTTGAAGAAACCGTGAAAAGTTCATCTAATGTATATCAGAAATATTTTAATATTCTTCAAAACAAATTATATATTAAACATGCATGGCTTTCTACACTATAATTCGTCTTAAGCACTTTACAATACATTTATAAACAAATGTTCAAAAATTCATTAACAAGTCCTCGTGGCTGATGCACATGGACAAGAATACTAAACAGTAATCTAAATGCGAAGGTGTTCAAAGGACAAAGTTTCATGTATGCACTTTCTTTACAAAAATATGGTGTGTATTTCAAAAGTGACCAAATTATAAATACTTGCAGATGGCTAAAACTACAATTTTTAAGGATTTGGACAAACATTAAATATCATTTCAAAAACTGAATAAGTAGTACCAGGACAAAGAATAGCGATGTCCTGTGGGGGAAATTATTACAAAAACTGAAAAAAAGTAGTACCAGGACAAAGAATAGCGATGTCCTGTGGGGAAAATTATTACAAAAACTGAAAAAAAGTAGTACCAGGACAAAGAATAGCGATGTCCTGTGAGGGAAATTATTACAAAAACTGAAAAAATAAGACCAGGACAAAGAATAGCGATGTCCTGTGGGGAAAATTATTACAAAAACTGAAAAAAAGTAGTACCAGGACAAACACTCAATCTGAAGAATAGCGATGACATGTGAGGGAAATTGTCACAAAAACTGAATAAGTAGTACCAGGACAACCAGTCGATCTGAAGAATAGCGATGACATGTGAGGGAAATTATTACAAAACCTGAATAAGTAGTACCAGGACAAAGAATAGCGATGTTCTGTGAGGGAAATTATTAGAAAAACATGCAAATTTGCAATGTCGTACACAAATTGTCTCAAGCAACAATTATTAGCACTTAATGACATAAAATCGCTAAAAAATATGTTTTAAGGATATTTAGTCTCTATTTTTCAAGTTCCGGCAGGTTTCCATAACTTTCTGATTTGGACACTGTAACTGACCAAATCGTTGGGAAATTTGATTTTACTGCTTTCTATAGAGAATAAAGTATATTGGTGTTGCTATCACGAGTAACATGTTAAATATGCAAACCTTTCTCTTTTGTTTAACAGAAAGGTGTACAATTTACGCACTGCGCGTAGACCGTTTAATTAGTTAAAATATAATTACAATCAAACAAGAAAAAATCCATAGTTCTTGAAGCTGTCCAGTTTAAAATTAACCAGTAATCGTCCAAAACTACTGTTATCGAGATATGCTCAAAGTGTTTTATGATTCCAGTCTTACTGTTTCGCCCTTTGACAAATAGAAGGTGTTAAAGTAACAACGACAGAGAACACAGCGGCTATCGCTTTGTGTTTTGTCTGTCCCTTTTTTTCAGAAAGATAATGTTGATGTTAGTGTCATACATTTGGTTATTTCTGTCGAATTTATTGTCCAAACTCTAGGTTTAAAGGACTTACAATGGTTTACTTGTATTCTAATTAACGTAACTCTGACACACCTTCTTTTATTCATATTTAACACTATTTAGCTATGGCTAACGTATTGAAAAAAGAACCACAAAATATTACAAAGAATAATTATTGATTGAATAATACGAAACAAGTAAAACAGGAAATGCTTTAAAGTTTAAAGTGCCTGCTGTTCCATAAGTAGCACTAGTTGTATTACAGTTTCAATCGAAAGTTTTAATATACTGTTCATGGCGTTAAAACACTAAATCCCTGCCTGGGATGTGTTTTAATTGATTTTAGTCTCTGATGCATGATTTTTTATTATTAATTGTTTTTGGCTTTTAACTAGCTTTCAGTAACTGCGAGTACTCTCAAATCGTACTTTCGTGTTAATTTGACCTGTTGACACAATTTGTAATTCATTTATGTTATTCAATATTTTCTTATTTTGTGTTATATCTGGTCTTACAATTTTAAATATGTACCACCTTTGATAAGTATTTAGTATGACGAAAAAATTTTGTACTTCTGTACTCGTACTATGAATAACAAATTTATTTTGTAAAATAAGTTTCTGTACTCCTAACAACAAAATAATTATGTTTAAATTTACCTGTGTACGTTACTTTATTTAACGTTATTTTGTCCTAGGTTAAAGTTGTCTTTTTGACATTGGAACATCTTTTTTATTTATATTGTGTCATAGATCAAACTTATTCCGGTTCAGTGTATATTTGCTTGTTTTTGTTATTGGCTTTTTGATCGAGTTAAGCCATTTCAATTGATATTCTATTGTGTGTATTTTTATGTTGTAATGTTTTACCACTGTTTCAGGTTAGGGTGAAGGTTGGCGCCTTTTAAAACGTTTAGACCTGCTGCATTTTTATGCACCTGTCCTAAGCCAGGAACCTGTTGTTCTTTGGTAGTCGTTTGTTGGTGTGGTTCATAAGTGTTTCTCGTTTCTCGTTTTTTATATATAGATTAGACCGTTGGTTTCCTGTTTGAATTGTTTTACACTAGTCTTTTTGGGGCCCTTTATAGCTTGCTGTTCGGTGTGAGCCAAGGCTCCGTGTTGAAGGCCGTACTTTGACCTATAATTGTTTACTTTTTACACATTGTGACTTGGATGGATAGTTGTCTCATTGGCACTCATACCACATCTTCTTATTTATGCATATCTTTATTTGTCCCCCGACTCAAAGCGATACAAGGGATATGGATGGACCTGATCAGATTTCAATAAGATTTATGTTTTTATGTCACAGTTTAAATCAAGTTCGAAAATCAGGGCAACCTATGACTTGGGAGGGGGGGATAATACCTTTAAGAACTATAAATAACATGGAAATCGACATTGTAATTAAGAACTCTCTTGCCAGCATTTCTATTTGAAGTTTATTGGAATATATATGTCAACGTTTTACATCCGGAAAATCTCGGAAGAATGAGAAAATTAGGACCAATCGATCATTAACTGTTTAGGGACTTGTGTCCTTAGATACATGTCGACAATATGGAAAATTAACATTGTGAGAACTCTTACACCTACATTTCTCATTGGGGTTGAATATAATTTATGTTAAAGGTTTACATCAGCAATATCACGGACTAGTTCGAAAAATGAGTTGAGTCGAATATTTTGGGGGAGTTATGCCCCGTTATAATATATAAATGATATGGAGAAATCAGCAGTGAATGCACTCTCGTCCCAACATTTTTTAAAAATCTTAAACGATTTCGAATATCAGCGCTGTTTGTATATATTTTGGTGAGTTATGACCTTAAAAGCTCTTTTGCACTTACATGTCTTGTGGAATTAAATGAAATTTATGTCAAAGGTTTTACCAGTGATTTCGCTAATGAATTTAATAATCAGTGTGCATTGATTACTTTTACGGAAGTTATGCCCCTTGGAAATACAGAAACTTTCTGGAGGAATGTGATTAGTCTGCAGTAATCTTGTTTCAAGTTTAGAATTTAAGGAAATTTGATACAATCGACCAGAAACATTATGTTATCAAAGATAAAGCAATATTTTTACATTTAAATAAACAAACAAGTCGACACACTTTGTTAAGAATAAAGTTACTGGATAAATCATATCAAATGATTTTAATCTCTAAAAATCAACATTTGCATGATCCATATAATGTTTCTATAATTGCAAACATAATTTGATTTAATTGATTTTAGTTCAATATATACAGTGATAAGGGGTTTTGTATCAAACATCTGTGACCAGACGTTTGTTCAAGTATATAATGTGCCTGATTTACCGTAATTGATATCCTATATTTATGTTATCTTTATTTCCATATTAAATTTGATCCCATTTGATCTCTGTCATTTCTTGTCATTTTTTATATAAGATTAGTGATGCTGCACAATATTTCGGACGATTTTGACGTCCATTCCTAGTCCAAACTCAATTTAAGACGGGTGGTTTACATATATATATTTATAGGCTATATGATTATATAGTTACTATTCTTCACAATATAAAGAAAGAGTGTTTAAATATTTATGTTAAACATAATAGGTAAATCTCTGTCTTTTCTTAATAGGTAAAGTAGACGTCTATTCTGTTAATATGAAACCTTCTTTGTGCTAGTTCTATGTACATGCTAAATATATTGTATCGATGTACATGCACCTTAGTAAGTTATTTGTACTTCTATACATCGTGCAAATAATGCATCTTAATAAATAAAACATTTCCTTGTTTTTTTTCTCTCTTAGTATATTAGAAACATGCTCTGGATGTCAACTATGTTGTTTTTTGTTATTATTAACAAAAAGTCAGAGCAAAAGATTCAAAACTTTAGACAATAGAATTCAGTATATATACAGTGATTCTGCAGTATAGAGATAAGATAATTTATTTTATTATAGATATTGATCAAACAGTATTAACAATTATGTTTGGTTGTCATAAATTGCGACACAATTTTATAATAAATTAGTGAATGAATAATTAATTTTAATTTAAATAAGAAGTACAAAAGCCACTGAAAAACTGAGGCAATTCAAATGAAATTTCAAACTGTACAAATGAATGGTGACTTTGAGTATTCAATTCACCTATCTTTAGGAATCAGTACGGCAAATGGAAAAAAGTAAATTTTGATAATAGAAATATAAAAAGACTTTTTTTCAGTGTTGGAACTGAAGAAACGAAAAGAGTTACGAAGGAAATTTTCTGTTATAATATTTCTCACTTACCTGGGAATCCATATCTGGCTGAATTTCCTCCTCGAATTCTTCTGGATCCTCCTTTGCGCCCATCATTTAAAGAATATACAGAATTTAAATCCAAATATAATTTTATCCATAATGACCACAGAAGTTTTCACATCTTCAAAATTGTGTCATTTATCCTTACGAATTTCACAAGGATTTAATTTCTTATGTAACTGAAAACTGTAAAAAATGTAATAAAAGACATTCCATATTTCAAGATACGAGATCTATATAAACTTATTCAGAATTGCACCTTTCGTACTATCATAACAATAACCAGGTGTCGTATTCCCATGGGCAGATAACCCGACATTTGATCGAATGAACGTAGATTAGTCCTACAACATATTTTACATTATTGATATTCAATAATATAAGTAAAGATATCTGTTGCTTTTGCTCAAGAATAATCCTGTAATTTAACAGATATTATGAATTGTTTGACATTTAGTTGGACGCATGCAGGCTACCGCACGCGCAATTATTGGTAGCATCTGTCAGATTGTAATGCAAGTGTATAATATTATAGATGTTACATTCCATATTTTTGCAATAACGGATGGGCCGTAAAGTAAACACGACTTTTATTGAATAAACTATTTAGTCAGTCTTCTAATTATTGGATTTATATACAAATAATACTGTTAATTTAGACGTTTACACGATATAGTAGAGGCAGTGACGTGTTAAAAATCGAAAATTGATCCGAAAGGTAAATACGAACGAAGCAAAATTACTTCAAAAATCATATGATTTAAATACAGTCTTTGAACGGAACTTTCCTTGTTGTAAACTTTTCTGTAACGTCTACCAGGCCTTTTCACAAGACCAGCCTGAATGTGTTGACATGATCTGAATATTAACAAAATTGCACAGGACAGATATAGTATCGGTAACTAAATTGATATGGGAATTGAAAAAGATAAATAGCCTTTTTGTCTATTCTGGATCTATCTATCTCTATGATGGATCCATATTAAATAGATATGTAAAGTCTGTCTAAAACAGTGGAAAAGATCAATTTTATATTTATGACCATGAATGTAACATAAAAGGTTTTGAGCATAAGGCTAATTAAGGAAGATTCTGTAATCTATATCGTTGGGTTGAGGAGTCATTACTGCGACATTGCATAGATATTGACGATCCGTCGCATCAATCATCCTAAGCACAAATTATAAACAACCGCCGTAAAATCGAAATCAACGAAAGTACTGCTTAAGCATTTACCCCTTTGAAATGCTATCATTTAGCATTCAAATAGAAACAGTATGTACTATAAGATATAGGAAGGATAACATATTCAAGTCTACCAATCAAGTCTTTAAGTTTTTATAGTGTTGGGTTACTGTCTCATTGACGTGTACCCTAAATCTCGTTTTTTCATTCGTTTAAATAATATCTATCGTGTGTACATTATTTGTTTTAAAAAAGAACACTTCTATAACAATTAACTTTTTTGTGGTCATTTAACAATTGTCAGGTTAAATTAAGATTCGATAATTGGTGAAAAGGGAACAATGTGAACATGTGAGTACATTATTTACTCAAGGTAAACATGCTTTGAAAACCAAATAGTAAAAAATGATGCATGCACGGCGTATCGTTAAAAATCGATAAAATATCAATAAAAAACGGTTTCAGTTTTAGAGTTGAATGTCGTTGTTTATTTTTTCGATCCTGTTCAAATATTTGGAATTGTACAAGTAGGGCGTTGATATTTTTATGTTCCACGTTTTATTCCGTAAAAGGCTAAAAAAAATACGTAAAGGTCAAGTAACAACAAAATCTATGACATAGCCCATTTACTGAAATTCTAACGCACGGAGCGAATAGTGCGCATATAATTTGGAAAAGAATTGAGCTTGAATGAAGAATATTGTGTGAAAACTGCAAAAAGATTGATATAAAAGTATTGTCAAAATATTTTGTTCCCATTAGTTTTAAAGATATAAGAAAGATCGTTGAGCTTTATTCCATCAGGTTATAAAAACTTTTCTCAAGTGTATCAGAAAGATTGACTGGGTTGACGCCTTTGTGTACGAATGGTCTCTAAAATGTAATCACGAGGTTCAGTTGCATTATATTTGCGTTTCATGTTAAAAATGTTTGATTCATTTTGAAGTTGTTAATTTTTTATGTGAATGCAAAAAAACGTATGTAATATGTCAGCGTGGGATTCCAAGCAAAACGAAATGATAGTTTACATTCAAAATCTCTCATTCCGTAGATGCATTGCACCGTTGAATGAAGGTCTTGTAATTAAAGAATCAAATGATGAGATAAACATTACACTGGTGTGAATCTATGACGACCGATCATTAGAGAACCACCTCGAGTTCTTAATTGTTTGGGATGCACTCGATTGGTGATTAATTTGCCACAACCAAATACCTATGTTTCCCTGTAGGCTTACTTATTCACACTTGTTTGTAAGTGCTTAGCTACTGTTTGACATTTCTGCTCTGAAAATAATTAGTTGCACAAGTTGTAGTAAGGTCTCATAACTCCAGGCATCGAAAATATTTATTACGTTTTTATGTTTGTTCTAAAACTACTTACACTCCAATTTTATAACTATGATCAAACTTTTTAGTCATTTTTACTGGCCCGATTTATTCTCTCGGAAATAGTAAAGCACGACACAAAGACAATAGAAGCAAGAAGTCCGCCCCTCATTAAACATAGAATGGAAAACCGCCATCTTCAATTAAATCTACCTTAAAACTTCAACAGTGTTTATGTAGTCGTTAGCTTCAGTTATACAAGGATCATAACTCGTGATAGATCTTTTCTGAAATTAATTCCATCTCAGCTGTTTACAGCTCTTAACAATGTATTGATCAATTTCAAAATACATCTTAATTAACATCTGATTGAGTTTGATCTGTTTAATCATACCGTATCAAGAATTTACATCACCAAGAATGGCATTTATACCAGAAGTCAATTATTGAACGTAATTGTAAATGTCGAGTGTACCAGAAAAATATGCAATCGCCGAAGATAGACCAGACAATAAAAGATACCTCTATAGCCAAAGACAAGTGGCTGGAGCAGACGGAAAGGTTGAACAATGAATACATCAGCATATCTTTGACGAATATTTGACGGATTTAATTTGTGCTGATGGTCAGTGAAATGACGTACTATTTTTAATATTCATATTTTGTTATATGTTTGAAATTCCCTTTCAACGTTTTCATTTAAAATCAATGAATAAAACTGCATAAAAGATCTTTGGTACGGTTGCAGGAAGTGTAAAATCGGTTTATATTATGTTGATGTCGGGCAGTCGGTAAATCGGTCGGATGTGCGGGAAGTTGGGCGGGGGAAAGTGATTACCTATATATGTGATCAACTCCTTCTAAATGTTTCGATCCCTTGAAACTTCACTGTAAGCTTACACATTGTGAAATTGTGCACCTGCTAATATGAAATTGTTATGTTTGCAGTTTTTGGAACTTTGTAATTGCTCATCAAATCAACCCCCCTCCGGTTTTCGTGAACCCAGATTCTAGAATTAAAAAGTCTGCACACCTTTTGTAGTTGTACGCATTCCATTCTGGAGTGGTTTGAATTTTGTTTTCTCTCATTGTTATTATTTCCATTTATTTCGAATGTTCATTATAAGACCATTATCCATTGTTTAAGAAATAGTCGTGCAACCCTGCCATTTAAGTCTTTGATCCATTTTAATAACTGTTATTAATCACGGCTCTCTTACGTGTTATATAATCTTTGTCTCTGTTGCATGGACTGGAAATGTTGCTTTTGGTTTCTTAAGTTTACATCATTGTGTTGGATTATTTTATGTTATGAAATTTTTATTACTCAAGCACAAGGAGTGCTTGGGTTGTCTATTACGATCATATTTTCGTTTCTAGTCAGGATATATCCTGCAAATAGCTATAATACTTTACAAATACTTCTAAATTACAATCTATTGGCTGTTTCACACACAAAAGTTCATTCAAACTCACTTTTTTCAAAAGTATATGCGCACTATTTGCACACGCGCATAAAATTTCTGAAAACTTCATCGCGGATCGGAATCAGATATGTTACTTGCACCACTATTCACGCCCTTCTCAGAGCCCGACTGGTACTCTTCCCAAATGAACAAGATAAATAACATACAGTTCTACAACGGAAAACATTTTTGTGGTTGATGTTAAATAAATTTTCATATAAAAAGCAAAGTCTCTATTTACTCAAACATCTTGAGTTCAAGCCTCTACGTATATTAACTTTCTTTGATATGCTTATGGTCAATACTTTTTAAAATGATTAATTGATCTAATTTTAGACTTCAGCAAACCGTTGTCATATAGTTTCTACAAACGAAGGCTATATGTAAGAAATAGTGCTATCCTTTACTTTTTACTACTTTTCTTTTGGGCCGTTTTGAGATATATATTGTAAATTGTGGCAGTGAATATATATAATCCGGATTTGGTGTAAAAAATTTTGCACCTCATGTTTGCGGTAGACCATCTTTTCCGTAAGTTTATTGTTTTCTGTTTGGTATTAAATTAATAATAAAGATCCATTTGTTACATCTTGTGATCCGTTTATTTGGCAATCGCCAATGGCAGTCAGCAGAGTTTAAGAACATCCGTTGTTCGACCTGTTAGTCAAATGCGTTTTGTTTAAATATACTTTTTCACTTTTTTGGTCTTTTGGAAAATGTTGTTTGTGCTGTATTTAGACCTTCTACCAAGAAATTTGTTTTGCGTGCACACGTATAAAAATTGCGGTTTTTATCCAACGCAATCATAGGTTTGAACGTTGTTTTCAATTTAGACTTATTTATATTTTTTCGTTTGGGCTTGTATTATATTTGCCTTCGGGTTTATATGATCCGTTCATCCTATTTCGACTCTTCAAAATTCAAGAGTCTATCCTAAATTGAGGTAAATTATATGGCCTTCCAAATACCGTTTCGATTCCTAACATCACTGAAGAGACATTAATTGTCGAAATCCGGATATGGTGTACAAATGTTTGCACCTCATGTTTGCGGTATACCATCTTTTCCGCAAGTTTATTGTTTTCTGTTTGGTATTAAATTAATAATAAAGATCCATTTGTTACATCTTGTGATCCATTTATTTGGCAATCGCCAATGGCAGTCAGCAGAGTTTAAAAACATCCGTTGTTCGACCTGTTAGTCAAATGCGTTTTGTTTAAATATACTTTTTCACTTTTTTGGTCTTTTGGAAAATGTTGTTTGTGCTGTATATAGACCCTCTACCAAGAAATTTGTTTTGCATGCACACGTATAAAAATTGCGGTTTTAATCCAACGCAATCATAGGTTTGAACGTTGTTTTCAATTTAGACTTATATATATATATATATAATTACTCTAAATATCAGCACAACAATGTTAAATCTGCAAATTTGCGGAAGCAAATTTTTGTTCTTCCCTCGCCGGGATTCGAACTCATGCTATTTGGATATCGTTACAACACCGCCAGCACTGTGTCCAGCGCTCTAGACCACTATATATATATAAATATATAATGTTTGAATTTGTCTTTTTCTTCCTCTATCATGGTGTTCTTTTGTAAGTTTAGGAGGGATGTTCATGACACAACAATTTCATGAAATAGAATGAAATAACCAATGTTTACTCAAACAAAAGCAGGACTTTTATTGGTGGTCCTTATATTGATAGTTATTGTAAGGGTTTCAACGGTTAGCTTGAAGATCTGACACCATAGCATGATCAAGTTTCTATTGATTACTATTTGATAGGTAAGGTTAATTCTTTAGGGATTCTGAAATCTTTTTGGATTGAATCTTTTTTAAACATCGCTTAAAACTTACAAATTATATGTTCAACTTTTAAATAAGTCATAAATAAAACACTCTCACAAAATTTCTTGTAGCATATTAAAATTTCCTCCTAAAATGTTTTGGCTTGATACGCCAAATACAATACATTATAAATAATGTATTGTCAAATTTCATTGACTTTTATACTATAGTTCCTTTGTCTATCCACGAACTTCTGACATCATTTACAAAGATAAATTGAAAAATGGTAAAAGACGGAAATGTTTCCAAAAATCAGCTTTTAGTAGATTTCCGATCTAATCTGTCATTATCAACAGCTATTCATATCGGTATCAATTTTGTTTTCAAGATCAAAGCCTGTTCCAAACTACAATATTTTTTCCTCCAAGTCACTTTGAGCCATTTTCTATATTTGTAATTTTGACAACTACATTGTTTATTTTCTTTCTTGCAAAAAAAAGATCCTTCCATCTATGCACTCTCGGAAATTAAGAACTGTTCGTTGTAAGAAAGCATCTGATGTCATTGGCCTTTTCCCCTAAAATATTTGTAGATATTCAATCCTATCTGGTGTGTAGATGAATTTAGTTTTTGGTTAAAATAGAGTCTATAAAGTCCAGGATTGTTGTAATATAATTGATTCGAAGATCACTGATTAGTGATATCATATAGCTGAGAGCTGAATCTCCTACAAAATGTAAAAAAGCTTGTTTATTTAATCTTCTATACTAAGACTCAAAATATTGGATCATGATGAACATCCATAATTTTTATAAGACGGAGAGAGAGAGCTGTCATTGCAGTAATATTTGCATAAAACATATATACCGTATCATTCACTCTTGGTAAACTGTCTTCGAAAACAAATTGATCTCGGCATAATTTCCAAAATGTTGTCGCGATATTGCCGCTGTCCGACCAACATGACTGCCTTCACTATGTGAATAGAATATATGGGCCAAATAGCAAATGGTAACCTCTAAATGCTTTACCTATTTTTAGAATATATATACTTATTTACTACCAAAATAGATACAGATTAAACGTTTCGTTCCAGTTAACGTATTGACCTACCCTTAATTGGTATCCCCGCAGCTTTGTCTGTCTCTAAAATATGTTCGTCTGGTACTTAATTTACATTTGTAATATAAGTAGTTCGACATGCCATATGGTGGCATACTTCCTGGCAGTATAACTATGAAATAGGAATGTTATGCGATCCTTGACGACAATGGTTGTGTTATAGGAGTAATTATCAAAAACAGATTTCGCAATAAGTTTTTTCTTCTTTTTTCTTTTTAATTTACCTATCTTGACTTCTTTCTTTCATTCTTTGGATTATTTTCACTGCTTTGTTTTAGCAGTTTCTTTTTATATGTAATTGTAAAATAAAGAGTACTAAATCCTGCACAAATTTCAACTTGTCTGGCCTGATTTTTCCAAAAAATGAATTGTTATTCAATCTAAATTGTAGGTAATCAATTTAACGCCGTAATAAAATCATTAAATATTGTTTTCATCGACACTAACATTGGTTTTGTTTTTGAAAAACAAAACATGACTAAATATTTACTGCTATATACGTATTTATCAGGGGTGGATTTAGGGGGATTAGGGCCCCCTCCCTTATGGAGCTTCATATATGATAAATGCATAGACTTTTTACAAGTATCACCCCAAACGTTGGCTTGCCAGTCCCCCTTTCCAACCCCCCATTTTCAAAATCCTGTTTTCCGTAAATTTAGTGTTATTAACTAGACTGTTAATTTTCTCGTTTGAATTGTTTAAAATTTATTATGTGGGGTCTTTTTAGCTGACGATATTGTATGGGATTTCTCATTGTTGAAGGCCGTACGGTGACTTGTGATCACTTATAGTTGCTTACATCCATGTCATATGAACTCTGTTGGATAGTTGTCTCATTGGCAATTATACCACATCTCCTTGTTTTTATAAAGGCGACTAAAAAGGAGAGCCGGGAAAAGGGGTCGGGGGGGGGGGGGGGGTGGTGTGTTCTCCCTCACCCCCAGAAATGGACAAAAACTTGTTTTGACTACGGACTAATATACTTCGACATATGTTATTATCATTACAAAAGACATTTATTCACATTTCTTATTCATATTGGTGAGGAACCATATCATCCATGATAAACCTAGATGAGTCCGCATAATACTATAACTGCATTTTCAGAATCGAATCTTATCATTTTTAACGGGAAATTTTAAATTGATCCTCAAATACTTCTCCTACTATATGGATGCGAGATTTGGGGTTTCAGTAATACTGATATTATGGAAAGAGTGCACTTAAAATTTTGTAAACTATTACTAAACCTTAAGAAGTCGACACCTAATTTTATGATTTATGGTGAACTTGGTATTTATCCCATGTCTTTATATATACAGCTGCGTATGGTTAATTTTTGGTCAAAAATGGTAAATGGGAATGATAACAGGATTACTAAAATATTATACAGATACATGTTCTTGAAGAATTCTGACAACCAATTTAGGTCAGATTGGTTGAAATACGTTAAAGATACATTAGATAGATGTGGATACAGCAATATATGGTTGTCACAAGGAAATTTTAATCCTAAATGGTTGGGTATTAGTTTAAAACAAAGGTTATTTGATCAGTTTCAACAGAAATGGAGAGCAGATATTGACTGTTCATCAAAAGGTTTGGCCTACAAATTGTTTAAACAAAAATTTGAATATGAAGAATATCTGAATATTTTAAGTGATAAAGATAGAATAACATATTGTAGATTTAGAACGGGAAACCACAAGTTACCCATCGAAACTGGTAGATGGAATAAAATTGAACGTAACGATAGATATTGTAATTTATGTCATTGTAAAGAGATTGGGGATGAATTTCATCACATTTTGCAGTGTAGTTCTTTGACAAACTTTCGAGCACAATATTTGGATACTTTTTTCTTGCACAGAAGTAATATACTAAAGTTTGGAAAACTATTTCAGTTAAAATTAAAAAATAAGTTAAAAAAGCTGTGCAAATTTATCAGGGTTATAACTTTTCAAGCAAGTCTTCCTGGTTAATCACCACTCTTCGCCACTACTGTGTTATTTTGTTTTATTTTATTTTTTCTTCTCATCTTGTCATGTGTGTTATGTTATGTTATAACTTTTGATGAACTTCTTTGTACCATTGTAACTATATGGTGTTTGAGAAATAAAGAATCTTGTGGATGGTTTAGCATAACAAACCATGCATTTACATCCAATTAAATGAACTTAGTTTATAACTTCAAATAGCATTCCCACTGTCGTTCGTGACATATAAAGCTACTAATTTTAAGTTAATATGCATAATTATATTTTTTCAGTATCCTTTGAGAAACGATACGACAAATACATATCTATCATACTCTGATCAAATTGTATTTATCGTTTGTTATTTCATTATCTAGCCCATAAAGGAATTCAACTATAAGTTTGATGTACAGCAGACTAAAGCTTTTCTTGATCAAAGCTAGCCATTACAAATCAAAGGCTTGTCATCTTTATTAAAGTGATACTGTATATGAATCGACATTTGTACTGGAAATGGCATCCGATACCATCAGAAAAAGTCGCATGAAAGACAATACATTTATCCAATCTGCGCGCAATCTGTTTTCCGTTGTCGGGCGTAAAAAGTATCATTGTTCCAGACAGAATTATTTACAGAAATTGACTAGAAAAGTAATAGATAGTTTATATTAATACATCATTCTTGTCCGAAGACATCTAGGTATAATAGTATAGCTTTATCTACTGTCTTAATTAAAATATTTTCAGGAGTGAAGCTGTAATAACGGACCATATAATAGCAATATATTTTACACCAAGATGTCATTAAATGAAATTGGATACCCTGCATTTATCATGCTTTTCAATAACATATGGTCAAATCGCTGAAAGACCCCCTCCTAAATTATTGAAAACTATCATTCTGCATTGACAATAATATCTTGGTGTAAATTAGATACACCCATTCGGGCTAACGCCCTTGAGGTGTATCTAATACTTACTCATTTGCACTGGTCAGTATATTAAGAAGGGACTGAAAATACATCTAACTTGTCTATTAAAAATAAAGATGGGATAATAGAGGGGCCTGATCTGATGGGGGGGGGGGGGGGGTCTCATCACGATTCACGAGTTGATTTTTTTGTCAATCACGATTCACAGAAAATAAATTTCCATGATCACGGATCACGAAAATATAAAAAAAAAATCTGTAGAAAAACGGATCACGATAGCGAAAATGCGCCGATCACGAAGAACGAAAATAACCCATCAGGCCCCTCATAATACACCCTTTAACCATCCGAGGTATAAATTTTCCTAAAAATAAAGGGGTAAATATATAAGAAAAAATCGATAGCATAACATTTATTTAAAAACAATAACTTCTACAAATAAATAAAATAAATATAAATTAAAGTGACAAATGATGAACATTTTTTTCCAGATATATCTTAAATATCCAACAATACTAAGCTCAATGGAAGTTTTTACAAAATGAATAAAATACAATGATCAAGTAGCTGTTGGATATAAGGACTAGAAGCCTAGAATGTGAAAAAGTTTTTTTTTCATTTTCAAAAGTATTTACGCACAAGAGTCCATATTTATATAAAATACGAAGAATGGAATCAAGTCGGATTCTCAAGACGTTGTCAAGATTGTCAGGAAACTTCAAAACATCAAGGTGATCCTCTTCCGACTGGCGTATCGTGGCAAAATTTTTGTGAAGACTAGCTTCAGTAAGAATCCACTTCTCGTATTGATCTATACAGAGACATACTGAAAATCAGTCCAAATAACTGAAAAAGAAGGGAAACAAAAATGAAAATAGACTATATATTTTTTTCTTAATCGCTGTCTATATACTATATTAATACGAAATAGGGTGCTAAAAGTACTAGGAACTGGTAAAAGCAGTATGATTGTATGACATGAAAATAATAAATAATTTAGCATTGATATATGTAATCTTAATTCATTATGATACAGGTGGAATAAACTTACAATGACAACAATAGATGCAACAGCAATTCCTCCAATCATTAATACATGTCCCTGAACATAGTTAACAAGCTCATCATAACAACCCTGTAATGAAAAAGTGAATACAACCAGTAAAAAAATATTATTTATTAACTTTCGGTCTCTCTCAGGACAAGATGATGATGATGGATGGCTGTTTGACGTCCAGCGGCAATTAAATGCATATTCAGACCAAGAACTTGTTTATGTAATATGAATATTAACCCTGCTTTGTACAAGATCAACACGCTGATCCGGATTTTTAAGGTGCTAGTTCACAAGGTAACAGCTCGCAGGAAGAAATGTCACCCTACCCAGACACATCATTCTGCCTCTGATCTGACCATTTTTTGCTCTTACTCCATAATGCCGCGTGCTTAGCGAAGAAGCAACAAATGCCAATTTGAGAAGTAACAAATGCCAATTTTAATGTCTTTGGTTTAACCCAGTTGGGTTCGAACCCACGACCTCTCGCACTCGAGGCGATCACGCTACCACGAGACCACCGAGAAGGTATCTCTCTCGCAATCAAACACACCTATCTCGGTGGCGGAGAACGTAATTTCCCGGTTGCATCAACCCATCCATTAACAATGATATTTACCGATTTTCCATAAACTACACTGCAGCATTAGGGAGAATCGGCCCAGAGTCAGGATAATATGTCCAATATTCATAAATTTTCTGTCAGGTCATTCATGAATCACGAATCCAAGTCTTAATGAATGTTTTTTTATTGAATTTTCAAACACTATATATACTGAGTAAAACTGTCCAAAAATGAAGTTTGCCGATTTGAGTAATTGCTACACAATATTGCATAATATAATGCCGGTAAGTCCTACCATCTCGAAACATCAATGTTCGAAACTCTGAGATTTTTATTCCAAGATATCGCAATAACTAAGTATTGTTTATTTTGTAATTAACTTCAATCTTGAAATAATGGTCGAATATAAATCGTATATATTCTATAGTATTTGGCTCAAATACCAGGCACCATGATGAATATGCGATTGTAGCTATGCAATCTGCAGTTAACATTTCATCATATACACTCACGGTGAAACTATTGCGTTTTTAGATTTGTCTCATTGTGCAAGTAATGTACTTTAGTCAGATTCATATGTATATCATATCAACTTGATTTCGTGTTTTGAAAAACAGTTAACAATCTCACACATACGCGCTTTCTCAAATTACAGTTCGTAACATAATAGCACGCTTGTGTAGTATAGGGATGTTGCAACACTTAACTTCTGTAAAGTAACAGTTTTTATCAATTCGTAATGTTAAACCATTGCTAATCAAAATGTGTGTCTTTCATCGTAGAATATGGATAAACACTTCATATTTTTTACTTTGGAAACAGGATAATGAGCAAGTAGGAAGGGTCTATATTTAATGCCTTTTTTAATACCATGCGCAGTGTAAATATAATTATACCATTTACTCACATACCTAATATGTTTGAATAAATTTAACGTAATTCCACGACAATTCTAAATAGTTTTGTGACAGTACCTTATGATAAAGATGAGGATTAATATTTCCGCTTACTGGAGGTCCATCTATTGGAGTGCCTTCTGTACCATTTAATCCAGTGCAAGCAATTATATCTCCGTCATGACGACAGCAACTATCGGGAACATAGGCTTTCCCTAAAAAAAAGTTGATCTGTACTTTAGTGTTGGCGAACAAAGATTCAAACGAACAATGACACTTTAATATCAGTACTGAGAGTGTCTACGAAGAAAGACATAAATTGCTGTCCTCGTTTATATGCCTTTTGTCCTATTTTTCCCCCCACAAAATTATTACAATAGTTAATCATTTTTTTATGAAAGGATACTGACTTAATTGCATTTCTATCGTTAACGTGGAAGGACATGATAAGTGACTGCAAGTTAAATTTCTGACCTTTATAGACATGAATTTTGAAATATTCATAAAAAATATTTCTTTACCATCTATCTGTGAGACAATCTTGAATCCTGGGGATTAACATCGTTGTTGAAGACTTACTGAATGTCTTACAGATATTCTATGACATTTGTACAGTAAAACTTTTGCATTTCATTTGTTTAATTTGCTGTTCTTTTATCGATTGTTCTCAAAGTAAAATACACAAGGATATATATGTCTAAATAACTGGAAATATGATTCCAAATAGTCTAAAAGGTGTTCAGAAAAAAAACCCAAACATATTCATGGTTTGTCCATTACAACTGTCGTAATGATTCTGACAGAACAGTATTATCTTTGCATATATTTATCACAGGTAAACATATATACGATGGTTGTCCGTACAGTTGGAGGACAATCTCAATAAAATATCATTTACCCGTCCGAAATAAATAAAACAAGTATATAACTAATTTCATGATTTACTGATTAAGTGTACAAAATTTTATTTCAGTACCTGCTTAAATAATCGTATTTTCATCAATGTAAAAATATAAGAAGCTCTCACCCGGAGCACCCAAACAAATATTTCCGACGTTCCGACGTTCGACGACGTCAACATTATAACTTTTCTCAACGTAGTCTCCTTTCAAAGCAACACAGTTTTTACATCTTTTCAACCAGTCATCAAATATTTTCTCAAACTGTTCTGTTTTTGTTGTTAAGATTATGTTCATTACTTCCTGTCTTTGTTCAGGTAAATCGTCGAACCTTTGTCCACGGAGAAAAGATTAGATATGCGGGAATACCGCAAAATCCATTGGCGCTAAGTCAGGGCTATACGGAGGTTGTTTCAGACATTCGAACTCAAGTAAATCAATTTCTAGATGAGTTTTTAGAGAAGTGTGCCCGGTGCATTGTCTTGGTGTAATATCACTGATGTAGTAATGAAACCAGCTTTCATCGGTTGTAATTATTCTGTCTAGAAATCGTATGCCACCACGACCACGAGAAAGTTTTTTAATAAATTGATTCGACAATTCCATCATGGCCGTTTTGTTAACTGTTCTGCTGTAAGAAGTCGCTGTACCCATCTAGCACATACTCGATTCATATTTAAATCATTTGCAAAAATGTGGTGCGCTGTAGTCTTAGAAATGTCACATTTTGTCTGCAACTTCGCAAACTGTTAGTCGCCGGTCAACGTTGATAACGTTCAGAACTTCATCTTTTATCGCATCTGATTTCCTGAAAGATGGCCTACCTTCCCGCTCTTCGTCTTCCAAATTGTATCTACCGTCCCCAAACCTTTTGTGCCACTTGAATTCCAATAACCGACTAACTTTGCTATGTTTCTCAGACTGTTTTAAGAATTTGTGTGTTTCTGTTGGCGTCTTTCCGATGTCTACATAAAGCTTTATAACCATCCGCTGCTCCACCTTTTCCGTAAATGTCCTTTTTTTCAGTGAAGCCGATTCTGAATTCAATGCTTCAAATCGAGATTTCTCCGCCATTTCGAAATTTTGACCATTCAAATTTAGCAGGTGTAACGGCAAGACTATTGTCAACGTCACAATGTATGTTTCGTGTATTTTTTGGCGGATTTTGAAATTTAAAATAACAAAAATATGAAAACACCAGCCTGCATGTAATGTGATATTTTCACCATGCTCCGGGTCCCTATTGCTTATATTTATATAAAGTAAGTGTCATTATTTCGTATTTAAAATTGGACAACTATTGATATAACCGAACTAGGATATAGTTCAGAATTACTAATATGCAAAAAGAATTTACAAGAAATGCTATTTTTACGCAGACTTCAGCTTGTCCACGAACTTTACGGACAACCCTCGTATGTACGATTTGTTTACTTACTGTTGTTTCCCCTTTTGAACCATTGAGAGTTCGTTTTGTATATCGCCCATGAATCTGTCGAATTGATTCCTCCATGTACTCCACAACACTCCAACTGTCAGATCAAATTAATGGAAAAGGTTGTTAAAGATTTTATGACACAATCGTAATTTTAATTAGTTTTGAGCACACTTGAAACAGAACAGATAAACTTTTCATTTTAAAATAGGGGCATGTCAATGCTGCTCTGTGTCTACCCATTACAACAGCACAGCAGACAGTTTTTTATATGATAAGAAGTGAATTTAAATGTATGTAATTTCGTAAAGCCTGTGTTCGCATCTTATAATCTTTGTTTTTCATATGTTTTCATGTCACTAAAAAATAACAAAATTGCTTGATAACATGTCTGAATACTACTGAATATATGAACAATAGTATATGAACATGGACCTTGTGTTGACTTATAGATGTCTTTTGTTTAATTTTTGTGTCTTCAGGTTTGCTCTCTCAATGATTTACACCCAACATCTTTCTTTTTTTTCATATATAAAATTTTCCAATAGATAATCAGTGTCTTACATTCTTCTGCATTAGATCCCATACTTCTGTTACCATTCTATTTTCAGAATGATCCAAGTTTACGCCATATTTGTTTATCAAAGCAGTCTTCATAGAGTTCTGAATTTTACCAGACATCTGAAATAAAACGTTTATTTTTTCACGTATTGTTAATTTTCTTATGCTATATTTACCAAATCATAAATATACGGAAAAAAGAAATTGAATTTTACAATAGCCATCTATTTGTTTCAGTTAATTGTTTACATAATTTTTCATACTGATGATATATATGTTTAATGTGACTTAAGACACCGTGGAGAATGTATGTGGAAAAGGTTTAAAAACTTTACCAAATCTTTACCTGTCCAAATTATATATAAGAGAAAAGGATTCGAACGAATGTCTTAAAAACTTGATAAAATATACCTGTCCAACGAAAACGAATAATAGGATTGCTGTGACTAGTAATATTACAAGAATGATCGCCATGAGAACTGTATACTGAAAATACAAAAAAATACAATATTTTCTTTTAAAGTAATAAAGTATCATTGAACAAATGAAAACAACTTTTAAAATCATGACTATTCACATTTTGTTTTTCTGGATTTTTAATGTGTGTATTTTGTCATGTTGTAAAAATGCGTGAAATTGTGAATTTTAGCATTTTCTTCTTTTTATGTCGTGTTTGGTATCAAAAGTCATTATTTCTTATGAGTAATTAAGTTTCAATATTTATATTACGCAAGAAGTGCATTTTGTTCGGGAAACAAGATTTTAAACTATTTTTCAAATAATTTTAGAAGAAACATCCATAAGTCGTGTAAGCGTTACTAGGAAAAATTTATTGATTAAGATTAAGATTATGTCGTGAGAATACTTTTTGACAACAATGGTCATCAATGTAATTTATTTGTCAACACCCAAACTGTATATAGAGTGAATAATGTCAATTAACACAAAGTCTTAATTTAATCTGCTTTTGATATTTTTAATTGTTTGAAAACTATTTGTTTATAAGTACCCTTTTCTATTTTCATTGGTCAAAAACGTTTCTATGATCATGTTTTATAAAGGTTAATTTTTGAAAAGAAAAGTAGAGAGAGCCATGTGATGCACCGATTGGCCCCGCTCTCGATCTGCGAGTAGCGGCGGGTTAATGTATGTTGCCAGTATTACTGTTTTGTAAATATGTTTTATGAACTGACTGTATGTTGGATAGAAAAAAAAAGTATGTGAACGTTCATGTATCCAGTCTCGTGTATTGATATACATCAATTTCTCGATATGGAACCTAGGTCATCTGCAATTGGACTATAAGTTTTTAGATTGTAAAACACTGTTATTCATCTCCGACGGACTATAGAGTTAACATAACGAAACACACCAATAAGACAACCACATTGTATAATCAACTATTTTATTACACCAAACAAGGATTTTCTAAACACGCCAATTTGATAGACCAGACAGGTAGTCTGGTATTTGATGGTTGCAGAAAAACCCCTATGGGGGTCTGTAGATGTTCGCTTTCTTTCCTGATGTCTGCCATACTAATAATAATGATGATAATATCGTGGATAATTGGTAATCAGATATATAGTTGACAATCGTACCACCTCTTCAATTTTTTAACAAACACAGATTCTTTATTCCCAGGCTTAGATTGCCTTAATCAGACTTTGGGCAATTTTGATATGTACGGTTTTCAATGGTCTTCAACTTCGTTTTTAATTTCACTGTCTTACTATTTTGGTTCGAGCGCCCCTGGTGAGTCTGTTGTAGACGAAACACCCGTCTGAAGTATCAAATTTATCTAATGCATTTCGTACATGGGAATTGGATATGATAGCCGACAAACTTTAACTGTATACACCATTTGAGAAAAGTAAAATTAATTATGAATTCCATGACTTCGTACAGTATTTGTTGCTTCAGTTTAATGCTAACGAAATTGGTATAAAACATACAATATAACATATGTATTAGCTGGTGATAGTGACTTACCATTGAAATAAACGTATGATACCAATTTAATAATTTATAAACTTAAAATTTACAGTCAAATTCTATAATACTAGTTCCTGTACCGAGGCACGTGTGTGTTGGCGGATAACACGGATCCTATCGGTCCACTGGCAGAGATATCAACACAGAGATAGGAAAATAAATTCACACATTTTATGGAATTAGGCACCGATAGATCATTTTTGGCAAGAGAGAGTGTATTTTCTCTCGAGACAAACATTTTTCTTTATTTAAGTATAAAAAAACAACACTTGTTATTTCAATACCAAACATAAACCGTATTTTTCAACGCAATGGCAATGTTGATTTAAACCCCTTATTTCCATTTGACACTATTTTTCACTTCCCTTCTGAAACAATTTTTGTCAAGAAATTTAGAATCAAACTTTCTATTTGAAAACATGCCTCCACCACCACTCCCACCCCGGACACACACACACACACACACAAAAGATGAACGGTCGATACCTTACCTTTGAATAAATGGAACACACATAATCTTATAAGCCGTATGAGGATAGTAATATTAAAAAAAAATAGAAAAAAAAAGCAACCCAATAAATTGAATTTGCAAAAAACAAGGGGTAAAGTTTTGTTCTATACAGCTGTTTGGTTGCAACCCTCCCCTGTTCCATGCAAAAAAATCGGTTTCACTTACAATGACCAAGACACATTTCTTTTCTTTCAGAGATCCACAGACACCACAGAGTGAAATGATGGCGATGGCAGTTCCTCCGGCAATAGCTATGTAGGCAGCTACATGATACAGTTCATCACCTAGGACAGCAGATAACTGGTGTGCTCCATAATCGGAGGCTATGATATATATTCCCATAGACAAACTAGATACACCAGCGATCTAAATGGATTTCAAATTATTATGGAATAAAAATTATTCTTTAAACAAAGTGATATTTACACATTCATAAAAAAGTATCATCCAATGAAATAAGGGATACAATGTTATTTGTCTATTTTTTATCTCATAAACAAGGCCGTTGGGTTTCTCCTTTGAATTGTTTCATTTTGTAATGTCGGGGCCTTTAATAGCTGACTATAAGATATGGGTTTGCTCATTGTTGAAGACCTGTAATTGCTTACACCCATGTCATTTAGACTCCGTGTGGTGGAGAGTTGTCTCCACATCTACTTATTATATATTATATTGTTTAAAAACAGACAAGAGTAAAAGAGCAAAACAGAACATATTAGACATATTTATCAACAAAACTTTTTTGTTATCCCTTATTTTTCCTTTGTCTTTTAGGAACGTCAAGAAGTGAGAATAATTAAATGAGCAAGTGAAATCAACAATCCAATCTAATAAAATATACTTACAAATATCAGAAAATGAAAAACTGCGGCACAGCATTTAATATTCCCTTTCGTTCCCATAGTTTAGAAATATGTCGGAAACTGTAAGAAAAATAAAATTAAACAGAAATTATAAATAGATCTGCAAAGCATTTTTAATATTTCCGAACCGGAGGTTCCAATTTTAAAATATGTCCATGACTAGAAGAAAATCAACTTGTACCTTCACTCCAGAACATTATTTTGCATGTTGTTCATTATTAAAATATTCACATAGAACATGGATACCAATAAAAAAAAATAAAAATATATAAAGAATATATAAAATTATACACTTACCTCCGTTTATCTAATAGCGTATATTTTTACATACACAGAGTAACAGGAAGTTGTTCAATCTGTTGCCTTGAGCGACACAAATCATACTTCAATGATGTCAATAACGGTTCTTGTGAAGGAACTGTGTGACACGATAAAGCATTTACTTTAAAACAATATTTGAGAAAATTTTATTCATGTTAAATGAAGAAAAATATTTTTCGAACGCCTCAAATATAGATATAAAAAATCTCGGCTTATTTTTGAGCATGCGTTTGCGGTTCGAATTAAGCCCTAGTGAAAAAATGTGTCATTGGAAATTATCCAAGTTTACTAAATTAACCAAAACTTACATTTTAAATACAACACCTGATTAAGTGATCGCACAAGATTTTCCACATGCATGATCGATAAGAAAATTGCACTTTATATGTGATTTTGACATAGTCGATTGAACATCATGGGAAAAGACGATGTTTTGTCCCGCCTTTTTTACTCGACCAATCGTTCTTTTAGTTACAGAATACAACAATTTTAAGTTACCAGCATACATTTTAGATATTTATTGGTTTTTAAAATTCACCAATTTACCAACAAACGGAATTTCATGATTTTTATTTATTTTTTTTTTAGAAGAGAAAAATGAGACAATTTATGTTGTTCCCTTTAAAAATATTACCCCTCACCACTGGATTTTGATCAGTTATTACTAAGTATTGGATAAGAAGACATTTGCTTGGTTTCAGTCCCTGTTTTTTTTTTAAATATAAGTGTTTTCTCTGTGTATTAGTCTCAAGGTGAGTATATTAGATCACATTACGAATAATAACTCAAATCTTTTTTTTTTCTCTCTTTTTTAAACAAATCAAATCAAATCAAATATTTTATTATAGTCTCACCTCTCTACATGTACAATACAAACATGAATACAATATCTATAGCATGTTTTAATTAAAAGTACAAAACAATCTTAAAAACATTCGAGAGCCACTCTCAAAAGAGTTATGAGAGACTTTTACATAAAAATGGACAAATTGATAAAAATAAAAAACACTTTTTTTTTTATCTATATAAAACATTCTTCCTTTGAATTAAAATATCATGGCAGATTTTGGCAGAATAAAAGCACAAATTTTCATTTGTAAATAAGAATATAATAAATTTTTCATTATCAATTAAGTCTAAAAACCGCTATTAAAAGTAACTGTTCTAGTAAAAAGCTCTTGTCTTGCATGTGAATATAAAGGGCATTTGAGTAAAACATATTTCTCATCTTCAATGAGTTTCTGTTGCATACATGAGTCATTAAAACAAAATATATTTTCACATAAAACCCCTTCATATCTGCCTGTTTCAATTCTAATTGGCGCCACACCACATCGAAATTTAGCAAAGGCGCTTTTATATTTTCCTGGCATATGAACACTTAAATAATTTTCTTTATGATATTCTTGTTTAAACAACCTATAGGTACGCAGTTTACTGCGATCATTTGTGTTTAAATCATGAGACCATTTTCTCTTGTACATATCAAAAACATTATTCTCAATATTTTTAATATCATTTTTATTAAAAGTACAGTTTATATTAGATTTAACAACGGTAAATTAAGATAGACGTAGGATATCCTTGTCTTATTCCAATACGTAAGGTAAACAGTAATGTCTGACCATGTTTATTTACCTCGATCGATCCATTGGCGGATGGGGGGTGGGGGTCCGGAACTCCCTCTTTTGCTTCGTTTTTTTCTCATTTCTCATTTAATTCGGTTTGGGGGTTGGACCCCCTCCCCTTTGTAAAATGGTTAGATCCGGGCCTGCGATCAACCTGTTGGTGAAACGATACTATTTACCTCGGGTTCCATTTGTTTGTTACATTAAAAAGTTGCTGACTTAACTGCTTTGCATGTTATTGGAAATACAGTTAAATAATAGATGTCACATTTGTCTATGCTTTTAAGTTGCGATTGTACAAAATACGGCAAAAATCATCTCGGAGTCGCTATTTACACAAAACAAAATATCTATAAAGACCATGCATCATGCATTTTGTCAATTATATGCAGTGGAGATTAAAGGATTTTTGATAGATATTTTTAGTAAACAAAGAAATCGATTTTACACAGCTATGTGATTTTTTCACTTCTCGTAAAGATTCCGGTAAAATATTTGGACACTCTGTTTTCCAAAGTATCTATATAGAGATATAAACTGTTCTCAATAATTAAAATCATGTATGTTTGAACACAATGTAATGCTCCAGAGTAAAAGTCTACATTTGTTGTATTTCACTCACGCAAACGTAACAAAAACTTCCTTCGACTATCTTTGAGCCCAGGCTCTTAACGAGAGAATTGATTCCTTTTCAATTCATTTGTTCCTTTTAAGCCAATCTTTGCAAATGTATTATAAGTGGTTGTTATCATTCCGCATTAATGATGTAATTTAATCAAATTTGGCAAATAAGATTGTGTTTTAAGTATACTAACAACCTATACATTTTCCATCATTCCCTGAAGACTTTCTGAACATGTGGAACATTTCTGGCAAGTTTGGTATTAATTAATTCAGTCGTTCTTTGGAATCTTTATGATTAGTTCTTGAAATTGATGAGTGAAATGTAATTCCCCTAAATGATTTCAATGTTAACTTTGATTAGCTAGAGGTATAGGGGAGGGTTGAGATCTCACAAAACATGTTTAACCCCGCCGCATTTTTGCGCCTGTCCCAAGTCAGGAACCTCTGGCCTTTGTTAGTCTTGTATGTTTTTTTTTTTATTTTGGTTCATCTATATGTTTTGGAGTTTAGTGGGACGTCCATTTTCTCTGAACTAGTACACATTTTTGTTTAGGGGCCAGCTGAAGCCTGCCTCCGGGATGCGGGATTTTCTTGCTGTGTTGAAGACCCATTGGTGGCCTTGGGCTGTTTCTGCTCTTTGGTCGGGTTGTTGTCTCTCTGACACATTCCCCGTTTCCATTCTCAATTTTATTTGACCTGAGCTGTAGACCATCTTAAATTAGCGATCGGCACCCAAGTAAGACCACTTACCAACAACCTTTAAATGAACATTTCAAACAAGTATGGTTTTAATTGTATCAATGGTTCTACAGATATCTGCGAAAATTAGACCCCTTCAAGTCATATAAGACTTTGCATCGGGATTAAAGTAACACTTGATATAAAACTTTGAGGGAACATTTCTGCATGGCTTGATTTGATAAAACTTTAAAAACAGCAAAATGTAGTATCCCATGTGGTTCCAATGTTAACATTGACATCCGCTGGCATGTATCTTTAATTTCCTATTAGCATCAAAGTAGCAACACTTGCTAAGGATCTTCACAGCATTATATATGTCAAGTTGGTTTCAGTAGGTCAACCAATCAGAAATTACAAAAGGCCACGACGGCCTAATTTAAAAACGAATCGGCACAAAAGTAAAAACTTGATAAGGAACGTCTCTCTCAAATTTGGTTTCATTCTGTGTAGTGGTTTTCAAGAAGATCGAAATATGAAAAGTTAACAGATGGATGACAGACGCGAAACGATGCACTTTACTTTGACCAAGGTTAGTTTGAAAATCAACAAAGTGTTGTAATCAAGTTCTTTTCTCAAATGTACTTGTCTTTTACCTTTCTATGAAAATTAGCCACAGTATGAAGACTTGCCTATCTGATTGGAACGTGATAATTTAAAAAAAAGCTATATGCTTGATACTGTGGTTAATTAAGAGAAAAGCCAGAGGAGCAAGATTTTCAAAATGGTTCGAAATGTTTGCAGATACTCTGTTTACCATTCGATATGTGCAACGAAGCTGGTTTGTAGTCATTTATTTGTTGTAATTCTTTGGCTGCAAATAATGCCCCAGACAGTACTCCTCAAGTAGTCAATTTCTCATCGCTTTAAATTTTCCAGGTGGCTTTACTTTTAATTGAAGTAACGGTAGAGAGATATTTAAAATTCTTTCCTTTTGCATGATTCAGACTATTTAAATGAATGATATTGGTATGTTTTATTGACTTTTAACATTAATAACTCATAATTTAGTCTTTAGAGGTTATAATATTGCATACTTCAGATATATATAAAATGATTAGTTTAATTATTAATACATTTATTAATCAAGATTTTTTTCTCTCAATACGTATGAATTTTACAGGTAAATAAAATTACAATTAAGTGACTAAATTACAGACGCCTTTTTATCCATTACCTGACCAAGTATTCCGAGTGTTAAAATTTAGTTACTAAAACAATTGCCCCCATAAAATGTATACAAAACTGGGGGAAGGGTAAACTAGAGGCTGTAAAGAGCTTGTGTCACACACCTAGGTGTATGTGCATTCTCAACAATGGACACTCTCCAACATTGTAGACTAGAATAAAGTTCATGACAACATTTTTTTTTGTTCTTGTATTGCTTTTGGTTTACAGTTTCTCTCTATCATCTTTAGTTTTTGCCCAAAACATAGAATTTCTAAGGAAAAGGGGGAAAAATCGTCATGTAATGCAATGGCAATCATTTCTATCAAGATATAAAATTGGAGGACGTGGTTTGATTGCCAATAAGACAATTCTCCACCAGAGACCAGATGACATAGAAGTTAACTATAGGTCACCGGACGGCCTTCAACAATGAGCAAAACCCATGTAGAGGTTATGATATTGCATACATCAGGTATCAAGAGTCTACTAACGATTTGGGCAAAATTTGACTTAATAGTAGATCTTGTATTGGTGATCATTTTTTATTTTTTAAAATGTCTATCTTTTAGTTTTCAAAATAAAATGCACACTCATAAAAATGGTAAAAATTATCATTAACGAGCAAGAACTCCAATGAGGAGTCGGGCATGTTGACTTATTAGTAGATCTTATCTTGCTGATAATTTTTGCTATTTTAAAAGTGTCTATCTATTATAGTT